TAAAGGTTTTCTGCTTTAAATAACTTGAATGATTTCAACCTGCAGAAATAATCTGATCTGACCTGACACACTTCCTGGTCGTGGTGGGAGGAGACAGTGTCAGAGTGAGAGCTCTGTGTCTGTCGGAGGATCTTTGTCTCAGAGAGCAGAATGGCAGGCAGCGCGTGGAGGTCAATGGTGAGAAACTGAGTGAAATGAGCGAGTGAACGTGGTGAACAATAGTGAAACACGTGTGAACTGACGCGTGAGTGTGAGCTGCGGAGCTGCTGTTACTGTGAACTCGTGTTTTCATCTCAGAAGCCTTTATTCGCAGCGGTTAGCATTTAGCAGCTAGCGGGTTAGCAGCTAGCAGGTTAGCCGTGTGTCCTTCAGTCGGTGCGGGTCGGACCACCGGCGGACGTCCCTCAGTTTCACCGGGACAGTGTCCACTTTATCCGCATGTTGGTGTTCGGTCGTCACGGGACCTCCCGCAGTCACCGGGGAACATGTCACCTGTCCCCGGTGAACCAGGAGGCTCCCGGTGCTGCGGGGACGGATTTGAGACACCTTCACCAAACCGCGTTTAAAAAATAATAAATTAAAATCTACTCTGTGTGTTAGACTTGATGCACAGCTCCTAGAAACACAGTCAGAGCTTCACAGATGAACTGAGGTCCCTGTGTTGTGTTCGGCGCACACCTGATGTCAGTCACAGACCAAATACTAACAGTAAACTGCTCATTGATGGAAACAGATTCTGTCACATTCAGTGATCCACACACACACACAACCATGAAGAGGTGGTTTGGTTCGTCCACACAAAGACAAACAGAACTCCGTTATTAAAACAGTTGTGTTATAACAAACTGAAACGTGTCAATGAGGAGCTGTTCAAACCTCAGGCTGTTAATTAAAGGTGACGTGAACAGTGTTTGAGTCTGAAGCTGCTGCAGTCACATGATCCAGAAACTTTAAAGTCTGAGAGAGAGAGAGAGAGAGAGATTATGTGTGACTGTTGAAGTGACCTTCATGTCCTCTCCTTCAGCTGTCCCAGGTGGTGGGGGGTGCAGTGAGGAGGCCCGCTCTGTCCTCAGCTTCCTTTTCCAGAGGGGTGAGCAGTTCACACACACACACACACACACACACACACACACACACACACACACACACACACAGTGAAGTCCCTGTGAAACCCGACCACACGGAGCTCCTCATCAGAATCTGTGTGTGTTTTTTGGAATGTCGTCACTTGAGTTCTCGTTTCAGGTTGACGTCCATCTTCATTCACAATTTATGGTTTTAGTTAAAACTGTTCGGTATGAGCAGCTGACCAAAAATCTGTCTCTGTCTGTCCTTCTGTCTCTCTCTCTCTGTCTCTTTAGATGCAGACGGTCACTCTGATTCCGGGGGATGGGATTGGACCAGAGATCTCCGCGTCTGTGATGAAGATCTTTGAGGCAGCTAAAGTGAGTGAATCACAGTGCGATGGAAGAGAGACATTTCTCTTCTTTTGTCCCGATGTGAGAATCGGCTGTTTTGTGTTTTTGTTCAGGCTCCGATCAGTTGGGAGGAGCGCAACGTGACGGCAATTAAAGGACCCGGTGGGAGGTGGATGATTCCACCTGATGCTAAAGATTCGATGGACAAGAGCAAGATCGGACTGAAGGGTCAGTGGACGCTGCGTGTTTGACCTTCAGGTCATTTTTATTTTTAGTTCACTCCTCATCAGTAGAAACTCTCTGTCCTGCAGGACCCCTGAAGACGCCCATCGCTGCAGGTCACCCCTCCATGAACCTGCTACTCAGGAAGACCTTTGACCTGTACGCCAACGTGCGCCCCTGCGTCTCCATCGAGGGCTACAAGACTCCGTACACTGATGTCAACCTGGTCACCATCAGAGAAAACACAGAGGGCGAGTACAGCGGCATCGAACACGTGGTGAGTGGTACAGACGTCAGTCAGTTCTCACAGATTCACTCTGTTCAAGAGGAAACTGTCAATAAAGGTTCAGATAAACGTGTGAATATGATCAGACTCACATCAGCTGATTAATCAGTCAGGCTCTAAATCAGATCCCGTCAGGATCCAAACTCTGCGTCCTCGTGGATGAACGACACTGTGACCAGGTGTTAACCTGTGACGTTGTAGTGATGACGCCGTACCTGCCCTCCTCACCTGTGCCCCTGTAGGTCAACTGGCTGCTGCAGATGAGGCTCTGCTCATGTTCATCCTCAGGGTAAGAAGGAGGAAGCAGCTCAGTCATATACGCTTCCTGAACCTCACCCGTTGACCCCGTCCACTCCTGATGTGCATCAGTTCTCACTGTCAGCTCACATCTGGATTTAATCCACTCTGGAGACCAGACTGTTAGCCGAGCTTAACTTAAAGAGTGGAAGCAGAGGGACACTCTTAGCCTAGCTTAGCACGAAAGGCTGGAAACAGGTCAAAACTGTTAGCCTAGCTTAAGAGCACTAACGTTGGCAGATCAGCTGACAGTCGACTCGTTCCTCTCACATCGATCCGTGATGAACCTCATTTTCCTTCTGTTTGGTTTTTGTGATTTTCCCTCTTTCTCTGTCCACTCATCACTTCCTGTCTCTTCACTTCACCCGCCTCCATTGAATGTTCTGCTCGCTCTGTGGCCGCTTTCCTCTGACATCCTGTTCAGTCATGTCGTCTCCCGACGACATCCGCAGCACGAAGTCACATGACATCACCGATCGGTCAGGAAGCAGTGAAATGGAAACGATTGGTCAGATTTCAGGCTGCGTCACATGACATCCTCCTGTGTTTGAGTGGTCCGCCTCTAAGTGAGTGAAGCCCCATGGTTCAGTGACGTGTCCTCGCAGAGTGAGCATCATGTCCATGGTGTCCACATGTCTCTGAAAGCGCTGTGGACGTGTTAAAAACGGGACGTCTGGTCCCAGTGGCGTGTTGATCTGAGCATGTCCTGTCTCCTTGCTGTTGCAGATCGTGGAGGGTGTGGTTCAGAGCATCAAACTGATTACTGAGGACGCCAGCAGACGCATCGCTGAGTACGCCTTCGAATACGCCAGGAACAACCAGAGGACCAGCGTGACGGCCGTCCACAAGGCTAACATCATGTGAGTCCCTCTGAGCAGCCAATCATACACGCTCCAGCAGAATGACATATAATGTCTTGGGTGTATTAATTATTATCTCTCTGTCTGTCTCTCTCTCTGTCTGTCTCTCTCTCTGTCTGTCTCTCTCTCTGTCTGTCTCTCTGTCTGTCTCTGTCTCTGTCTGTCCCTCTGTCCTGTCTCTCTCTCTGTCTCTCTCTCTGTCTGTCTCTCTCTCTGTCTGTCTGTCTCTCTCTCTTTCTGTCTCTCTCTCTCTCTCTGTCTGTCTCTCTCTCTCTCTGTCTGTCTGTCTCTCTCTCT